TTTAAAAATATAGTATCTACTTTGCTTTCTGGTTTATTTCCTTATAAAATCTATGAAGAGTGTTATACCTCCTAGAATCTCTAATCATCACTTTCATTTGTGCCTTTTTTAGGAGAAGTTTAATAGTGGCAAGGTTTATTAAAGCAAAAAGCGAAAGTATACTCTCGGATAATAAAAACTTCTAGCCTAAGCACTAAACCAAAAGAAAAAAGAAAAAGTACACTCTAGAGAGAGAGCGAGCAGGGAGGCGAGAGGAAGCTGCTGCCTTTTGTGCTTTTCTTAATATACGATGTTTTATGTCTAATAATCAGGGCTCTTAGAGGAACTTAAGAGATATTAACCAAATTATATTGCTTATTCAAAATCTCATTGGGCTACTCACGTTCTATTTTACTTAAGCCATTCTTATATTGTTGTCTTGAAATCAAACACGGCTACTCATCTCACACTATCCAGGGGTCATCTCTTTTTCTCTTCCTATTTTACCAAGAAGGAATTCCAAGTACAATTTGATGGTTCTCAATCTTTTCCTTACTGTGGGATTCAAGGACACATTACATAGCCCCTGCTTATTCTTGATCCTTCACACCATCTTCCGCTCCTCTCCTTGCCTCTAAACATATCCTATATCCCAAGGAATTCCAAGTGGAGTGCAAGGCACAGGAAGATTGTCACTAATTTTGCCAGCTTTACTAGACTCCTGAAAATGGGGTAGCTGACTGTCTGTTGGCAGGAGGGAGCTAAGTCTTTCCTGCCTGTTCCAGTGTGAGCTCTGAAACCATTGCTCATATCCTTGGCCTGAAACACAAACACTGGCCTCTGTGCCTAAGAGTTTTGACTGGGAAGTCTTGAGTTGTCTTTCCAACAGAAAATCCTGACTTGGGTTTTTATTTTTAATTTTTTAATTTTTCTGAGTTTATATGAGCCAAACTGAGGACATATGCCAGGGAGCAAGATTTCAAATGTTCCTTGATGTTTATTTTTAGTTTGTGTTTTTTTTTAATTAAAGAAGGTGAACATTTTTTTCATATCCTTCCCCCACCCCCCCAGTTTTATTGAGATGTAATTGACATATAACCGTATTAGTTCTAGGTGCACAGCGTGATGACTTAGTATATGTGCATCTTTTGAAATAATTGCCCCAGTAACGGACTCGGATGTTATGCTTCTTGTTCTCAGCCTGCCGCCATGACTCAGGGAACTCAAGGAACAATTCGACCAGCTGCCAACTTCGATCCTATGAGAGATGCAGAAATTCTTCGTAAAGCAATGAAGGGTTTTGGTAAGGAAATGGATTTTTGTCTTATTTATAATAAGTTTAAGTGATTAAAGTAAAAATAAGCTTTGTATCATAAACCAAGTTTATGTGTCAGCCCGTGGGCACATTCCTCCGTTTAATCTGGCCCCAGTTACCTTATAAACATTTAAGCGATTTCCTCAAGGAACATCCAGTGCACTTATTCTCACTTAAACATGTTTGGTTCTTTCAGGGACAGATGAACAGGCAATTGTGGATGTCGTGTCCACCCGGTCCAATGATCAAAGGCAAAAAATTAAAGCAGCTTTTAAGACCATGTATGGAAAGGTAATTTTTTTTTCTTAAGTGAGCGTGAACAGTGACCTGTAGACCCTGCGTCCATGTCAGGTTGCACACTATTGTCTTACTATTACTGATGAACAAAACAGCTCCGTTCCAGAGGCCCCGGGAGTACTGTGTTCGTTTTTTTCTCTTAAAAGGCTTTCTAATTCTAGAGTGGTCCTTGGCCATGATGTCCCACCTCATACTAGGCCTGGTGTGTGGTAGATGTTCCATAGGAAGTAGATTGTGACCACGGTCATCATCAGTAGCGTGGTTCTCCATCCTGTCTGTGGAGTGGGATCCACGGGCTTCTCTACAGAGCCCTGCTTATCTTGGTCCTTGGCATCATCCTCCACTCCTTTCCCTCCCTCTAAACATATCCTCTGTTTATGATTGCATGGAACTTCTCGCCGTTCTCTGCACACACCATGACCTTGTATACTTCTGTGCTTAGTATACGTTGTTCTCTGGGCCGAGAAGACCTTCTTTCCTTTTTCTGCACGACAAACAACTCCAGGATTTGGCTTCAGTTAGCTCCTCTGTGCAGTTTCCCTCATTGCTGAATGTTCTCTTCTGTAGCCTCTTTTGCCATCATAGTCCATACTGCCTGTTGTTGCCACGTCCGTGCCATTTGCCTGCATACACGTTTCCAGCGGCTCCTGCAGCACGCAGAATCACATTCAGCATTCTCTAGCTTAGCCTTCAAGGTAATATGCCAAGCATATAGTTATAAGTTTGATTTACTCACCTGTGAAAATGTTCCCCTCTAACAAAATTGGTTGTCTTACTGTCCCACGGAACTCGATTTGGTCATTCTTACCCCTGCATTAGTGATTCTCAGCTTTAGCTCATCATCATAATCCCCTTTGGAACTTAAAAACGCGTGCAGAGGAGCATTTGAGACCTTGCTCCCTGGCGAGTCGTCAGTTTGGCTCAAATAACTCTGATAAAACTTAAAACAACAAAAACAAAAGAACACCACATGCAGAATCTGAGTGTTTTCCTCCACATCAATTTTTGTTCGTTTTTAAGAAAGATTCCGCGGATGATTTTAATGCATAGCCAAGGCGGGAAACCATTTTTCTATTCCATGTTTGTTTTTCCTTCTTGCCTGAAATACCTTTCTTCTTCCTCTTTGCCTGCTAATTTTTATTTTTTTTCCTCAGTGCCATTGAGTGACAGGTACCCCTGGCACAGTCCCAGGAAAAAGATGCACTCAGGGTTTTCTTTCAGCACCAGCTGCCAAATCCTGGCCCCACTGTGCCTGCTGATTTCCATGTCCTCTTCAGGATCTGGACTGAAAGCTTCCTTTGCATCCTGTAGCTCACTTTGTTTCTGTCATTTATTTCTGTCCTGCCTACTCATCCGGCGCTGGAGTACCGGCTGCCTTATGCTGGGGTCTCTTTTTAGATGTTTATCTTATTTTTCAAATAAGAACACCGTGAGGATTTCTACTTCCTCATGGAACAAGAACAATTTCTTATACTAATAAATATCTGTTCATCGTTTTGTTCATTTGAATTGTTCTATGTTTCATGTATTTCTTGTTTTTGTACCTGGTATAGTGGTGGAACTACAGTAAGAATTTAAGTTTTTATTGATAGAATGAATAAAATACATCTACTTGAGTAGGACAAACTTTAAATGTACATATTTACTTATTTATTATTGTATAATATCCAGATTTGAAATTTAGGTTTTCATAAAACAATTCAATTCCATTTTCTATATTTTTCTTTAAAAATGCAAATAACAAAATTTGGAGAGCACATATACTTCGTTTATCCTTGTAATTAAACAGGATTTAATCAAAGATCTCAAGTCAGAGTTAAGTGGGAATATGGAAGAACTGATCCTTGCCTTGTTCATGCCAAGCACATATTATGATGCCTGGAGTTTACGGAATGCAATGAAGGTACTATATGTCATTTACTTTGAATGTTTTATCTAATGTAAACCTTCCCCCACCCCCAAATTGTGGCAGTTCTGTATTCATAGTGACAGCTAAATCATATATTCTTTCATATCTCTGACTATATAGAGCTTGTTAGGTCTGGAGGCCAAAGAAATATTTGATGGAACAGTAAGATTTAATAACTTACGGAGATTTTGTTTTTCTTTTGTGTGATTCTTCCTTTCATTATTTCACATAGGGAGCAGGAACTCAGGAACGTGTATTGATTGAAATTTTATGCACAAGAACTAATCGGGAAATCCAAGAAATTGTCCGATGTTACCAGTCGGAATTTGGGCGAGACCTTGAGAAGGACATTAGGTCAGATACATCAGGGCATTTTGAACGTTTGCTTGTGTCCATGTGCCAGGTGAGTACAGTGTGGATGTTTGTGTGATGGCGGAGGGAACAGTCTTTGCTGCCTTTGCCAGTGAGCATCCTGCATTCCTTTTAATATTGAGCCCCCTTGGAATCCTGCCGCCTTTAAGAGGGACAACACAGAACCCAGTATACAAATGTCTCTGTAGTCACTATGGAGATTTATTTCTGTAGATCTGGCTTTTGAAAGGAATCAGAAATCAATTTGAAGCTGTGTCGTGGGATGGGATGAGTCTGTACTTTTGAGCTTAGCCCATTAAGTTCTACCACTAACTCCGGATGCGCAGGAGGGCCATGGAAGTGCTGCAGGGCAAGGACTGTGTGAGGAGAGCCAGAAATGCAGAAAAGTGCTTCAGGATTCACAGAACTATTGTGATTGTTACCTTCCTTATTCTGATTCCCTAGCATGCCGATTCAGTATCAGCAGTTACTGGCTCTCCATATGTGTCCATTTTTCCCCCCCGCCCTAGACCTTCCTTATTCTGATTCCCTAGCATGCTGATTCAGTATCAGCAGTTACTGGCTCTCCTGCTAATGCACAAGGTCGGACAGCCCTGAGGGGTCTAGAAGTAGAGAGACTTTTCAGAGCAAGGCAGGTAGTTGCAGGAAAAGCAGTGAGCCAGAGTGAGTGGGCATGTGTGGACGTGAGAAAAGAAACAGGTGGATGAGAGGAAACGGAATTTACCTACAACAGAGTAACGGAGCAGGGGAGGAGGTTGGCATTTAGAAAGAATGAGAAGAAAACAAACAGGAACGGATTTAACACTGAAAAATGGTGAAGATTTTATAGGAGGTGTGGAGTGTCTGCAGGGTTCCAGGCCCAGCCGGTGTGTAAAGCAAAGGGACCGCTTCCAGGGCGTAAGCAGAGGGACAGCCAGGCCGCGCGTGCGTTTGAGTCCAAAGGCAGAAGGGAGGAATGTCCCTGAGCACCGCCTCCTGTGCTGTAGTCAGGTGTCCGCTTGGAATCTGCTTCTACATGCCCCTGCGCCCAGGGTTCTTGGGAAGACAGTTTCTCACCTCAGGGAGCCCTCTCCATGTCGCTCCTCAGACACCGAGACTCTAGAGGACAGCCTTTCCCTTGTGATTCTGTTTTGGAGTGAAACCAACTGCCCATCTAAGCTTTACCCTTGCTCAGGCTCACAGCTGCCTTCCTCCCGCCCTCCCTCCCTCCCTCCCTCCTACCCTACGGGAGAGTTCGGTATACAAATCAGCACAATCTAGCAGAACTTGAGTTATTTGCTCCCGCCCTCCCTCCCTCCCTCCCTCCTACCCTCCTACCCTATGGGAGAGTTCGGTATACAAATCGGCACAATCTAGCAGAACTTGAGTTATTTA